GATTAGTAAATTAAACATTAATCCGCCGGGTGCACTAGTTTTTCACTTGCGTTATTCGCTAACTTGCGTGACTCGTTTCGCGCATACGCAAAGATCTGTCTTGTGCGCGAGTTACGAGTCGGCCGCTTGCTTTGCGTTGGATTTCTTTGCGTTGCATGTGTTCGACATCTAGCAAGTTTGATATTTCCACGCAAGCAACAGGGAATGTTTGCGGAGGACAGCACCACTGGCCAATCAAAGAGCAGCAGCGTCCACGCATCTAATAAAACCAAAACAAAGATAAGGCGCCGCACATGCGCGCAAGTCTCTCCGCAACGCAAGTGAAAGACTCGTGCACCCGGCATAAATAAGCGTTTAAATTTTGTTTTTATTTGGTTATATTAATAGGCAACATTTATAATATACATGTTAGATTTTATGTTAAATTGTGTTATAGTTAATGGCAACACACTACTGAAAATCTGTCCCATCCAAGTTGCATATCGCTGTACTTTTAAATATAAAACATTAAGTTTCTTATAGTATTTCGTCTGCATGATTTTTTTGACAATACGGCATGTATTATTATTGTCACGTTGCCCACCGAATGCTATATCACGTGTATTCAAAATATAATTCATTGTTTTTTTTGAGGGCACGGAGCAGGCATGTGAAACACTAGTTGTTTTTTTCATTCCAATAAGTTACATTTAATAAGTACACAAGCTACAACTAGGCAAAAGAATGTCGACTGGTTCTACTCTTTATTCTAGACATACATATCTATTTTAATCCCCAAAAACTTATTATTACTATTGACCACGAAACTATGCAAATATGTCTGGGTCACGTTTAGTCTGGAAATAATTTAACTGCTTGAAAGTCAGTTGTTCGGATGTCATTTCATTACATTTAAATATTGTTAACGTATTTCTTCATCACTGATCTTGAATCCAGTGCAAAACAAAAGAAAAGAGAATTTGAAAAATTGTGGTAACTTAAAAAAGTTTTAGGTCTTATATATCGCATTGTTAATACAATAGTGTAGGAAATGAAACTATTTTTCCGGATTTAAATCGCGTATATTTGTTTTTTCAAACAAACAGTCAACTGTGACCATGGGACCTGTAAAGGGCCCGAAACGTCGGTTTGTTTGAAGAAACAAATATACGCGATTTAAATACGGAAAAATAGTTTCATTTCCTATGTGTAACAATCGCGAAAACCTAAGAACTCGATAAATACAATAGTGTATTAACTCAAAAAGTGTATTGTTTCAGAATTGATGAAAAACGAATCCTACTCACTTCTCGTCAAAGATAATTAAAATTTATGTACAGATTAAGGTTAGGTTTATTACAGACATCTAAACAATTTCCTATTTGCCAAATGTGTTTAAAAATAAAAGGAAAAAAACTTATTTTTGACTGTTTTGTTTTTTTTTCATTCAGAACTAAATCACATTAAGTTTGTCTCATTTTGAGTTAAATAAATATATTTTAATTATTTTTTACAATATTCTAATGATGGTTTTGCTGACGTGTAGAGAATCTAAGGTTACGTTCAGTAATGGAATAATCTTGAATTTCACGTGTTTTGAGTAACAACACTATTGTAATAGCAGTGCGATATATTGCGTAACTCAGTAATTATTATTATTATAACAAAGATCGAAACACTAAGAAAACTCATTCGATTCGGCTGGATTTGTACCAGCACCCTCAGGCAATCCGTGCCAGATGCTCTGCCAATTAAGCCATGGTTCGTACCAGCTGACCTTACGAAGCTTTCTATGTGTTTGTTGCAGATCTTCGTTTTTGCTTTTTAACGACTTTTTTGCTGTAGCGGCATCCGTAAGAAATTTATTTCAATAGCATTTATTTGAAGCAAAAGAAAGTGCCAGCGTAAATACCAGTCCGATGCACAACGCAGGTCGGGGTTGCGGGGAAGGGTCGCGCGCATGTTTGAACTTTACTACCTTCCTACTCGAGATATTGGCACCTAAAGATTTTTTCTTTGAAAAATGTCAATTACGCTTTATATATGATACCAAGTTTTGGGACGAACAATATCCATATCACTTGCAGTGCCACTCAGAGCTTTAAATATCAAAGATCTGAAGAGCAGAGACATAAGTTGACATGTGTCTACCATACTATGTGCCTATAATTTCACCAATACCCTTACCCTTCAAAACCGGGACGCAGTAATGCTCACATACTGCTTGGAACCGAAATAGGTAAGGTGGCAGTACTTCCCTGGACGAACTCTTTCACAAGCAGCTCTACTGCTACTAAAACTACTCTGATTATGCTGAACAATAAAACTGAAATTAATTAAGATATTAAAAACCGATTAGAGGGGGTTGCAGATCGCTGTATCGCTGATCCAGATAAATATAATGACTCAATTACGCCAAAACTGTCAATTAGATATGTCAGTTATGACAATATAAAAATTGTTTATATCAACATAAATAGATATCGAAATAAATACAAATAAATAAAAATATTACGTTAATTACATTAATACATAATAATACTTAAATACATGTTCATACAGGTTATAAAATACTGAGGTAAGAGGGGGCGTAGCGGTTTGTTCGGTTACCTGGTGCCCCCTTACTATGTCCAGGAATCGAACGGCGCACTTCGGTGAAGACAACTTCTTTTATTGTACCGAAGCTTACAATAGGCTTGCAATACACATGTATCCAATAAAAGGGATTCGTCTCGTTGGATGCAAGCGGCGTAGAGACCGTGACAAGACCCGGTGCGTACGAGAATTACAAAAAGTCACTCAGAGGTATTCTCGTAATCTGCCCCGAAAGATGGGCGCGAGTTTGAGATACTTCCTTAGTAATGAGGATAACTGTAGTAATGCAATCCTTAAGTCGATCAATAATAAGTTAGACAAGTAGAAAAATAGATCAGATCAGATCAATTTCATACAAAATACTAGTGACAGGTCACTGCATTTGGGAAAATCTTAACACCGCGATTAGGAAATTGCGTTTTCTATGCCAATGCCATCTAGCGGTAAACTTCGGAACTGTTCTAACTAATGTTGCTAAAGTTATTGTGTTACAATAATACTATACTACTTAAATAATAATTTCTCAATCATTAAAAATGCCTCCCTCACGCTTGTGTGTCCAACAGGGATCATAAATGCTTTCTGTATTATATTTTGTGATACCATTTGTTAACATTATGGAAAAGCAATAAAATACTGAGTATTGAGTATACAAGGCTGCTGCCACGAATGTTTTCCTTTTAAAGAGTGTAATCTGTCTAATTTCGCAAAAAAAAATTTCCGTATTTCGCCATTTTATTATTGAGGCAGTGATATGTAAATGTATGCACATACGGCGGCTTATTCAGTTTATGCGTAAAACTAACAACTTTCTCTTTAAAATGTTGCTTGTTGCAAATAGCTGTATTTCCTGGAATGAAATGAATTAATTTAGCATAATACGTACTCTGCTTACCAGACTCTTGGAACTAGTGCAATTTAATTTGAGTATTTATTAATATTAGTATAATCGAAAAAAAAGTCTTGTCTACCCCGTCTTCTCATACTCTGAGTATCGATTCACGATACTCAAAGTATGAGAAGACGGGGAGGAAATTTGCTTATATTAATAACCATAAATTTTGCATGCAATCTATGTGTATGTGAGCAACCGCTCACATACACATAGATTGCTAGATTGATAGATTCTTTACTAACCACATATTGCATTGTGTTGTCTTTTTTTTCGTGTTACCATTTAGACCACAATTTCTACTAATTATCTATGAAATGGTTGACAGTATTCCATTATAATATATATTTAGTAGCAGTTCGTCCATGGTTGTACTAACCACACGTAACCACAATTTCTACTAATTATCGATCAAATGGTTGACCGTGTCGCCGTTTACACCACTGTTCTACTAACTGTCAAAAGTTTGACACAAAGATGGAATATCAATGCCAACGGGTTTCGCGCTTTATTTTTTTCCATCCTATAAGGTTTCGCCTTACGAGTTTGGCTGGAATGGATAAATTGTATTGACCAATTTAAACTTAAAAAGTAGACTACTTTTCTTTCTGTACTTTCTCAATTTACAATTCCGTCATTTCAGTACTCGCAATAGTGTAGTAATTGTTCATTCGTCACGTCTAAATAAATTGCACCAATCTTTATATAAATAAATTAATTTACGTCATAACTCAGTAGCAATAACTGGCTTTTGTACATGATATATTGTTATTGCCAAGCGGTGGTACAAATTTAAACAATTTACGAGATGAGGACGGAGGGATCAATTGAATAAATTATTATTTTCAACTGCAGCTTTACTCTACCGAATCTTTGAGCTTGCCATGACGTCTGATGCATTAGTGGCAGGTTTGAGGCACAGTGAGACCAAAAATAGAAAAAGAAAAAATTGAAAATAGGTAAAACTAGAAGCCAGCGCAACAGTCGTACATACTTCAGATAAAATAAGTACGATGTTACACTCAAAATCTGCATAATCATACTTTTCACCAGTAAGGTTCATACAATCAACCAATAAGGTATCCCCTTAGCGTGTTTTCTGTTGTACCTCGTGACACGAAATGTTGTCCAAGGCAATTACGACAATCGCGACATCATTACACACATTAAGTTCACTGAAATCTTATGGTCATTGGCTATGGCAATGAGCGTTATCAATTTTTTTGTTCTATAATTTTTTATTTTGATGTAGTATTATTTACTTCATTTTTCATTCCTCATTTTTGTTTACCTTTTCAAAGGAAAGGAGAAGATTCCAAAGTGTCTTTTTCTTTTTATTTTATCTTTTGTTACTTGAATATGAATATTTCTCAGTGTAGTTTGCTGTCATCTACCTCCCGTAACCACCATAAAGAAAAGAGTTAAACTATTTACAACGTTCGAAAGCCTGTGAGTCATCCCCTCTCGGTATGTCCAAAGACATCAGTCCACAACATGAGTTCTGTTTTCCACACATCGCGTGTGCGCCTATGTGGTCCGCAGTAGTAGACGGCCCCGCGACGCGCGACCTACGCGCATTCGGATAATTCGAATATTGAAGTTCGAAATTTGATGTGTATATTTTTAATTCGATTTTTACAACAATCCTCAAATTTACTGAGCCAGCCAGTATTGTTTTTTTTTAATTTTAGTTGTGTGTATCCGCATTTAAAGACAACATTCGAAATTTGAAACATTTGGCGCACCTAAAGTGTTTCGCTTTTTTATTTTCATTATCGCCTATGTACACAGTTTTCTTTTGTTATTTAATCACCAATACCAATGTCGATATAACTTTAGATACTTTGTAAATAATTGGGTCTGTCTTATTAACGTTGGGAGATAAGCTTAAGTTTAAGCATTCCCTATTTTTATTTTCATTACCTTCCAAGTTTTCACATTGTCGTTATACTTTTTTTTTTCAAGGAGTCATAGTTTAAAAAATCTAAACAAGCTTCGAATAACCTTCCTAAATATTAACAACACTGTTTAAACAGTTATTCACAGATAAACAATTAATTGCTCAATGAATATCCGCTCAAGCATTAAACGTAGATGTAACAAAAATCCGTTAACAAACTCATCTCTGGCAATTACAAAGTCGTATTAAGTTATAATGTCGTAATGTGTTAAGTGATATAAACGTCGGCGATGACCACCTGATGTTAATTTGACACCTGTCAAGCTTTGAGTACCGGTATTTGATGACGTAGACAAGAGGCTGCTTACGATGGGATTTAAAGAACTTTTACAATTTTGAATAAACTTTTTTGGTGTACATACTAGCCCAAGTCTATTAACGATAAACATTGGAGCTTTGTTTGGTTTTGATTACTGTACACTATACAGGATTATTAGTAAAATAGTCCCGTATAATAAACAACAATTTTTTTCCATGACTTTTAATAATTCATCAGATTTTACTTAAATAAAAATATTCAAATAGATCGCTCTAAACTGCGATAACTCGGTATGGTGACAAAAGAAAGTGACAGCGTAAATACCAATGCAAAACGCGGAACGGGGTCGTCGGGGAGGAAGGTCGCTTGCTTGTTTGAACTTATTACCTTCCTACTCCTCCTTCCTCCTCGTCATAACTAATGCATTTTTGCAATTTAGGTAACTGTCGAGATGTTGACACTTAAATTTTTTTCTTTGAAGAATATCATTTACGCTTTTTTTACGATATCAAGTGACGGAACAAACAAGTAAGCGACACGCCGGTCCATATCAGTTACAGTGCCACTCAGAGCTTTAAATCTCAAAGAGCTGCGGGCACTGCCACCGCGCCCGTCACTCAGAGACATAAGTTGTTAGTTGTGCCTGTAATTTCACCAGCACCCTTACCCTTCAAAACCGTAACGCAGTAATGCTCACGTTACAGATTGGAGGCAGAAATAGGTAAGGTGGTAGTACTTCCTTGGACGAACTCTTTCGCAAGAAGCTCTACTTCTGCTAAAGCTAGGTTGTTAATATTTTACAAATATAGACACAGAAGGATTAACAAAAATATTCTAAAAATGACACAAGCAAATGCCAACACGCGTCGCATATGTATGTAACAACAGTAACTCAACTCCATGGTAATTATTCAAAGTCATAAGCGCCACACCTTAACAAACTAATATTATATATAACAAATATTTATTTTTTATTCCGACCATCGAATGTATCAAAGGACAAGATAAACTCGCACGTATATTTCTCGTATGCAAATTAGACACACTTTGTGCAGGTTTTCCTGGAAGCCGTTAATGGTCCAAGTCTACCCGGAGCTGAGTTTAATGTCTCTAAATTTTAATAGATTTTCTAAGAAAAATGTGAGACTTTATGTAATGTTTTCACCAGTAGTAGTTGATTTTCGTAGCTTGGCTGGTATTTAGGTGAACGGTAATATGAAACTGTACTAAACGCTCGGCTTTCCTTTTAGTTGTTGTTTACTTATGTCTTCCTAGTACTTTTACCGGTGGTAATAGGTTTTCGTTTATTTTCTTTTTGTTAGATCTTTCATTTTTTTGTGACAACCACTCCAATTGCCTGGTATTAAACTTGGAAATTTCATGTACTAAGAATACCAGAGCATCGGAAATCTGGCGCACGTCCCAGAGCACCCAGACCAGAATCAATTTAGAAAAGTTCGTTTCCTTAATAGGTCCAATCAGGAAATGAACCCAGGACCTCCATTGCCAATGCCAGCGCCCACTGTGCAAAATGTTCGTCCACTAGGTCACTGGAGTTGTTAGGATTAATCTTAAAATTTGGATACTTATGTCAACAGGTTGTATTGCAACCCCTAAAGTTTCTTGCTCATTTCTTAGGGGAATCTGTCTTACGAATGAGCAGTAGAGTTTAATCAATATGACGATTTCAAATATAATTTATTTAACTATGAAAATGATTATTTGAGTTTTAGTTTGAGTTTGCAAATGTAGTTCGAAGTGAAGACTGTCTATATTCTTATTATCTAACTTAAATGCGTCGGAGTACAAATACGTATAAATAGTCAAGAGTACATCAAACTTGACACTTTAGACAGCTTCATTTAAATCTTGAGTGTTAAGCTTAACAGTTTGGACCGTTGAGTTTCAATGTTTAGTGTCAAGCTTGACAGTTTGGACTGTTGAATTTATATGTTAAGTGTCAAACTTGACGGACTCTTCTTCCAGTATAAGCAGCATGAAATTTTCTTAAACTTTTTTATCCAAGACTTTATTATATAAATAGATGTATAGTTATATATGAAACACGCATTAATAATTAAAATATTTATCATTATTATTTTCATTGTCAAAAGTAATTCTATTTTGACTGTAAATAAATCGCTAACGGATATGTTAGACGACATCAATTAAATCCGCTATGGTTGGTTGATCCCACCGCCCGGAGTACACGCATCGTTGTTGCTAGTGATGTTCTATAGTTTTGTCGAAACCGAAGACTTAATTCGCGTTACTCTGCCCTGTCGTGCTAACCCACGACAGGGTGCGACTTGAGCGAGAGCGACATAAAGTGCGACATATTGCTATTCTCGCATAGAGATCTCGCGCTTTATGTTGGTCTCACGCAAGTCGCGTCTTATCGTTCTAGTCACATCATACAGTGTGATAGGCAATATTTGAAAAATAACAAGTTTTCAGGCGAGAGGTTTGCAAATTTTGCGAAGAATATAGTCGATAACTTTCTTATGTTTAAGTAGGAGTGTTACCAAATTTCACATATTTTAATATATAATAATAATATTATATAATTTGTTCTATGTAGTTCGTATTACTTTTGTGACATTTATGTGACTTTTGACGTATAATCATACGTGGCTTCATTGTACAAAAGAGTAGGGTAAATTATCAAATTTTAGAATTAGCAAAGTGCAAACTCTCAGAATATTGAATTTTCGAAACTTTGTACAAACATCATAAGCTAAGAAAGTTTTTTAATTAAGAGAGAGACTGAGAATACATTTTGGTCTTTGGATGGTAAGCGATGCAGCTGTTTAGGTGATAAAATCTATGACTTTATGAGTAAATAATAGTAACAGACGTTCTTTCCAAACTAGCCTTATTTTATTTATTTTTTATGATACCAAGTCACTAAACGAACAGTCATGCGCCTGGAGGTAAGCGACACGCGTGTCTATAACAGTTGCAGTGCCACTCAGAGCTTTAAATCGCAAAGATCGGCTCACCTGGACACATAAGTTGACAAGTCTCATGTGCCTGTAATTTGACCGGCATCCTTGCCCTTGGCGGCAGAAATAGGTAAGATGGCAGTACTTCACTGGACGAACTGTTTCACAAGGAGCTGCTCATACTGCTACAAATAAAGGTTGGAATATACCCGTACCTACTCTGTCTATGAACTGAAAAATAATATAATAATAATATGTATTATAACGAACTATAGAAAATGGGTCGAACCTAAAGTGTACCAACACTAGCATTTTACATGACCGTCGTTCATATTTTTTGCGCGTCATCAAAGACACTAGTTGGCGCTAATTTTTGTAGAGACCATTAAAAGACAGCAATAAAATTCCACTAACAGTGATCAGCAAATTGGGGTTAGCACAAGGTCGATTAACAGCTTACTTACATGATTATAGGGTCGTCAAAAATACTTTAATTAATTCTTACTTACCTTAATTTTACTTCTATAATGAATTGCTTGATTCTTATGTGTTTCAATCGTTGATTTCAACAGACGGGTCTTAAAAATTAACATTTAGATTATTATATATGTTATATTCTTACCTAACTATAAAATAAAGACAAAAATAAATAAATAATCAATTTCCTTTATGATATGAAAACCAAACGTGTCAAAAATAAAATTTTTAGTAAATTTGAGAAAATGTGTTTCTTGCCATTACTACTTTGTTATGATCAAAATTTTCTTAATGGAAAATGATGATGAAGTGGACGATGGAGTATGCACACCTAAATAATGCCTAAGAAGGAACAAGTCTGCAGGCAGATAATTGAATTACATAACTGTCCGCCATTTAAACGTGAAAGCGTAACGCTTCGTGTGAATCCTTGGAATTCCCAAATTAATGATAAATTGTAGTATTTTAAGTTTCAACTCTATAATAAAGACGATAACCCTATAATATAGAAGAAGATAACTCCATTCAGGAGCCATCTATCATAATTCGTCGCCGATTCGGCACGCTTCACGTGGCATTGCCGCCGTCTGCGCCGCCTGTCTACTGCTAAGCTCTATTACCCACAATTATCTGCGACTTCACCACATATGTTTACAATTAATTTTGATTTTTGCTGTCTTTATTTCATTTAATGTGGATTATAAACAAAGTCCTTGTAGGCGAAATAACGATGATTTCATTAAAATACTTTTCTTAGCTCGTTAAAATTCCGAGTCATAGAGGTTCCTTGTTTTAGATATTTTCTTAAAAGAACAATTTTTTTTCACAAGAACAACAAACATTTATTTGTGTATATATATAAAACTAGGCGATGCCCCCGACTTCATCTGCGTAGACAAATTATTTTGAGTAGCCTACTGTATTGAGAAATTATTGGTTCTCCATACAAACTTTCATCCATTATTTCAGTCCCTTTAATATTTATTATTGTGACAAAAAGCAGCCTATGTCCTTTTCCTAGGTCCCA